CATGATGTTTTAGCGCGTTATGTCCGATGACCTCATTATATTGACGCGTGGATCGCACCACACCCGTCGGCTAGGGTGTCTCGCAGAGTACAGAACCAAGCGCATTCACGCAAAAGCGTCCTAGCGCTGAGCGTCAACGTTGACGCTCCCTCTTCAGCCAATTGATAGCCTTCGTGTCTTTGTGTTTCGGCATGTTATTTTCCACAAATATTCTGAAGAAAATTGTCAATAAGAAGCTAGGAGGCACGCGGCGCGGGCACTCTGCTCATCTGGCGCTCCCTTCCATCCCTTCCTGGACTCAGGCCCAGTACTTTCTCGCTGGAGAGAGCGCCAGACGAGCAGACCGTGTGGCCTCCCACCCCCAACCCACTTAGTCACCAAAAATCAATCTCGTATACCAAGAAGAACCTGGTGGTATGGTAATAGTTACATAACCGAGTCGACTGGTGCGGGAGCGTCGAGTGGCGTTTGACGCTCACGCTCTCGCCACAAGGACGCTTGACAGTGTATTCTGAGTATGTATCCTGGCAGATATTCTGCGTTCCACTGTTTAGGTCACAGGGTTACGTTCCACTAGGTTACGTGATTGAATAATGGGGGCGCGCGGGTGAAAGGAGCGCGCACATCCCGCGAAATCCCCTAGCGAGCGTCGTGTACGCGTGGTTAGCATTTTGATCTCCCAGACGTGTGACCTTGGCAGTTCATAAGCTGCGAAAGCAGTTTACCCATATTAATCTAATCGCGTTGATCCTGAGCGATGAAATGACGTGAGGGGGGAAGAGGAAAAGATTGGTTTCGAATTCCTATGAATTCTCGACCGAAGATCCACGCGATTCGATAAATTCTGGACTGATTGTGGCCAGTATGATTACCAAAATTTGTGCTCAAAAATCGCGTGTGAATAACCCCGGCAAGAGTAGCAGTCTAAAATGCTCCATCGAGAGTTAGTTTTCACCTCGTAGCTAGCATACTAAGACATACTTCTACCAATTTACCTTGATCTGCTGAGTTGGTCAAGCTTCCACTGTTCATTTAGCTAAGAACTAAAAATGTTTCCGGTTCCTTAGCTAGCAAGATAATCGAGTTAAAAAGGAGCTAATCATAAATACAATATTTCGCTGGCTTATTTATCAGAGTTTTTTTTCAGCAACCTCTACTCCGGAGTCAGCGCTTATTTACTATGGATTTTCAGTGAAGATCTTCGACGTTACGTCTATGAACTCTTAGGAATTAAAAAGCAATCAGGGAACATAACCGTCACTATCGTTACTTGTCGACAATCAAAATGAAAATATTATCCCAAGTTTGTACCTTAGCAACAAAGCCCCTTCGCTCATTTTGAGTGGGATGAAGTAGGGGAGCTGCAAGAGCGAGGAAGTAGTCAGGGGTTGCGAACATAGAGCAATCCGGTTTCACAAAGTTTTTCATGATATAGTGAACTACTCTGCAACTGACTTCTTTGAACATTCTGACATACTCTATGCTGCTAATGACCAAATTACAAGCTTGTACGGTACGGGCTTCATCTTTAGATTATCCTGTTCGACGTTAACGACTCGTTAGCGTATTAACCAGACGATAAGGTTCTTTAGGATTAGTAGGATAAACCACTAACACCCGTAAAGACCTATTCTGAAAAGGAAGACCGGAGTTGTACTCCATGCTGTTACTAGAGAAGGATTTTATTGTTCGTAAATTAACTGTTTTTAGTTGGCACGTCTACACTTGGAATGATACGGCGTTAGGCACTGTCTAGTTCCTGTAAACCATACAGGTGTTTTTGTTTTATGTTCCTTCTATGTTACTGTATTAGTTGTATAAAAGTTAATTTCCCATGTATTCCTACAAGGTTTTTTTCCCACTCCTAGTACCCTAGCTGATAGATCTCATGGTCTATTGTAGAACTCCTTATATTCGGTCGGCAAGGCTTGTTCTGATGAATTTCCATTAGCAAGTTTTCTTTGTAAACAATCAAAAACACGGTTCATAATTAGAACGTTTCTCGATCTTTCCCACTGATGCAAATATGTGGGGTGTGGTGCAGTAGGAACGAAATTGTCGCGTCGCGATGAGAGGGACGTCGCGCGCGAAGGAATGTAGCAGGATGCAGGTAGTTNAGAAATACAAGAACAAAAGTACTAATAGTAGAATTATGCATAAAATAATGATCGCATATCGATTGAGCTGTGTGAAGATCGCTGGAGCTGTAATAGCGGCGAATGAGTGGTCCGCGACAGCCGCGTGCGGCAAATCGATTACCCAAAGTCATTCCTAACGCCCGTCTCCCAAATATGTGGCTCCTTAGAATGTCAACCGAGGCATTTGAGATGGAAAAACTGACTGATCAAGACCTGTAAGGGCTCGAAAGTCGGTAGCGCTGTTTATCATCCTTAGAAACGGGGTTCTAATAGAGTCTACGCCACCTGTACCGACCCACCACTCACAGAAGAGGACATTTAATGAAAATCTTTAATGACTTCAATCTTGGTTCGTCTTTGGGGTCTCGGTGTTAGGATTTATTGATAACAGGACTACGATAATAAATATAATAATATTATAATATAATAATAGAAGGAAAGAATACGAGCAGGAACCGGATTTGGAAAATGTAGTGTGATGCCTTATTTGGCAGCAAGAATAATGTACCTAATGCTTCACAAAATTCGTCACATCACTCTTGTCAGCAGCGATTGGAATCCCGTCCCATCAGCCCTTTCGTCACAATGACTTCATACATCGCTTTGGATTTACATGTTTTAGGGAGCCTATCGGCCTAACAGTACAATGGCTTGATTTTCTTGCAGAATGACAAGCTTTTGGTGTTGATTTTAAAAATACCCTTTAGGCAGGAGCTTTCTTTGGATCTCTCTGAATGAAAAACTCGATGCTGTTTACATATTCAGAAACTTTAACAACCGTGTGTTCTCACAAAGCTCAAGGGCATTTATGCATGCTTGCACTTTTAAATTGATTTTTTTTAATCATTAGGCACCCCTTTTCAGTAGCTTCCAGGAGCTAAGAAGACATGCAATGCCATAGGTGAATACAAAGGACAGTTGCCATGAGTTTTTGTTTGAACACAACAAAAGGAAATTGTATTCTAAAGACTACAATAAGTCATAAGCGTTCCCATCGTATCATTACACTTAAGCTCAGATTTCTAAACCTAGTAATGATGTTTGTTCGATAAACCGAGGTTGTTCAATGAAGTATAGTCGGGAAAAAGGGAAAAACTGAGAATACTTGAGAAAGGTTAAACACCAGTGCGGAGGAGTCGAAGACATCAACGTAGGCTCACATCTGATGAGGTAGCGCCGAGGTCGCTACAGGGGGAAAAAAGGGGAAAAACAGAGACCAGGTCAGTTCGCGCGGGACCCTTGAAAGCACAGTTCGAGATGACTTGGAGATGCTTGGAATCGAAATGAGGGGATAGTGGGAGTTTCGGTGCCGAATACTGCAGAAGTCGAAGAAATCACGAAACTATGCCAAAAGTTGACTTCCATTGTCGCTATGGGGCACCTGTTGTTTGAATTTTCAACATATGCGCTTCATTGTAAATGGTGCGACCTATTCGATGTTCGTGAAACTCGGCCACTTCTGAGCGCGGCACGAACACATTCCTCCAGCCTTTATTACGCCCTAGTTGGGCCGTTTTTTAATCTTACTGCGCTACATAGGGCATCCTAGAGAGATTACCGCAAAAATAGATTCAGTATTCTGATTGGGAGCATTTTTCCTATCGTGGTCGAAAGCCAACGCTGTCAGGATCACGCAGGGCTACCAGCGCCAGGGAACGTCCGATTCTATCGTCAATGAAACTAGGTCTCGCAGCAAACGTCGAGCGCTGCGCAGCCAACCGCGGTTTTGAGAATTTTGCTGTTCAAATTATTTTTTCGCGCGCGGACATTTGAATTCAGCATCGTGCCTCACCCTATAGGCGTCGCTCTTGCGGCGGCGAAAGACTCGAAGCGCACTACCGCTATTAACAAAATTTTTCTTCCTTGAACTTAGTTCATTTTATGAGGAAGGTGTAGTGCATTGGGCCTACCTTAACAGATGTCGCCATCTAACAGCTAGGACGATGTTCACGACCATCCCTCACTACAACTCTCAGTCCCCAACGAACTCCGTGAGCGTGGCATCGACCCAGTGGCTTCTATCTCATATCCTAAGAAGCAAAACGAAGTCCTTCACCTTCGATTCGATCACAATAAACTCGGGAAGCAAATCCTTATACCAGCAACTCTTATCCCTCGACGAGTTAGAGACATAAAAGCAACGAGGCAGTGAGCCAGTGGATTTGCAGGAGAGAAGATCGTTTTCTACTTTTCCACGTGTGTAGGTGTTTTTTACTCGAGTGTTTTTCAAATGAATTATGAAAGTACAATATTTTTTTTAAATAATAATAGATGAGCTGTTCCGAAACCACCTGGCACAATATGTTCGTCGGCTTTATTGCATAGAATATGAAATGCGAGTGGAAATCCTTTATTCATTGTTTAATCGCGACGCTTCTGTAGTCGTTGATGCTGTTTGTTTATACTACCCGGAAACGACCGATTCTACTGTCGACGGACGGGGGACGTGCGATTCCGGTCGCGCGCGGAAAATTGTGCGGCAAAATTCGCGATGATTCAAACGACTCCTGCGCCTACCATTGGGGCACAAATTGAAG